GATGTTGTTTTGAGTGTTCCGAAGGTTGGAACAAGTTTGAATGAAGTTATGGGATATGTTGGTAGGTTTGGTTGAGGTCCCAGGGGCCTCGAGATAATTTTGGATGGTTGACAGAAAGATTTTTGGAATTTTATAGTTGCAGCTTCAGCTGTTCTTCTGTCATAACCACACCTGTGAGTGTGGGACCACAGGTGCGGAGTCGTAGAAGTGGCGGATCTATCGCAGAAACGGAAATGGGAAAGTTCAACAGGGATCGCAGAAGCGGTAGGATTTCCGCAGGAGCGGTACCGCATCTGCGAATGGGGAGTCGCAAATGCGGAAGATTGATTTTAAGTGAGAAGTCGCAAATGCGACCCGTGTTCCGCAAAAGCGGGATTGCAGAAGCGGTCCCAAAACCGCAGATGCGGTAACAACAGGGCAGAAATATGAAATTTCGAGGGTTTAGTTTCAAAATTTGGAAATTCGATTTGGAGCTCGAGAGAGGGCGATTTTGAGAGGAAATTGAAGAGGAAATCAGTGGGTAACAATTCTTTAACCCTTTCTAGTTATATTCCATAAATCTATTGTTAGTTTCATCATTTAATTCCGGATTGACGATGAAAACTGGGAAAAAGTTGGAAGAAAGTTCTTAGACTAAAAAATTGACTTCTGATTGGGAATTTGACCTTAGATTTGGATATGTTTGGTACGCATGAACTCGTGAGAGTATGAGGATTCTGAAAATATAAATTTTTACCAATTCCGAGACGTGTGCCCGAGAGGCGTTTTGGTTGTTTTACATAATCTCGCGTATTAGCTTAGAATTTCTTTGTAGAATCAATTACTTGAAGTGTTATTTATATTATGAAATTGAATTGAATAGATTTGGGCCATTTGGAGTCGAGTACTCGTGGCAAGAGTGTGGTTTCGGATTGATTATTGAGTCGGTTCGAGGTAAGTGGCTTTTCTAACCTTGTGTGGGGGACCTTCTCCTTAGTATTTGTTATATTTGGTAATTGAAATGCCTTGTACGTGAGGTGACGAGTGTGTACTTGTGATAATTGTTGGAAATCCGGTTTTCATTAAGTAATTACTAGTATGTTTCCTTTTCTGCTTTTATTACTTGCACCATTAAGCATGTTGTTAGCTTAGGAAAGCATGTCTAAGTGACTTAATTGCTTTACTTGCTCAAACTGCCTTACCTGAATTCTGTGCAGCTTGTTCGGCTAGAATTACTTGTTTGCCTTAATATGAAATTTGCCATTTCTGAATATTTTCCTATTATTACTGTGTATATACATTGGGACTATGGATGTGGGATTCCAGTAGCTCCCCCTTGTCTATTTATTTTGGGACTACGGATGTGGGATTTCGGTAGATCCTCCCTGCACAATTATATGGAACTACGAGAATGCACCCGGTAGATTCCCCAGTACTGATATTTACATTTGGGACTACGGAATGGGATTCCAGTAGATCCCCGCGCACCATGAGTTGGACTACAGGACGGGATCCCGGGAGATCCATTAGATATGTATATTTGGGACTACAGGACAGTATCCTAGGAGATCCCCGATTGTTATTTTGATGTTGAACCGTATTTCTCTCTGTGTTTACCTTGTCTCTGTAATGGTTGTTGTTGCCCTTTCTATCTTGTGATACTTTTATTGCTGCACTTATTTATATTGTTCTATTCTACACTATTGAACCTTATAATTTATTTAACCTCAGTAGGGCCCTGACCTTCCTCGTCAATACCCAACCGAGGTTAGGCTTGACACTTACTAAGTACCGTTGTGGTGTACTCATGCCCCTTCTGCGCATGTTTTTCATGTGCAGATCTAGGTACCTTGACTCAGACTTACCATCCTTGAGGCGAGGCGACCCTTCGGAAACTTCGAGGTATATCTGCCGCGTCCGTAGACCGGGGAGTATCTCTCTATTCTCTCTTGTAGTTACAACCCTTCTGTATTTACTTGTTTTAGACTATTCTGGAGTTAGAGCACTATGTAATATCCTTAGCTTGTGATTCATGGGTTTCCGGGTCTTGGAAGTATGTATCAGTTTGAGAGTTAAATATTGTGTATGCCGAGCGGCACTTTTAAACATTGTTTTATTACTCTAATTCTATTTTAAATCGTTTAATTTCTACAATTTGGTTTATCTTCCACAATTTAGGCTTACCTAGTCGTAGAGACTAGGTGTCGTCACGATGGTTCACGGAGGGCAAACCGGGGTCGTGACAGTTCCTACAAGGTATAAATACACCAAAATACGTTTTTGAAGGGACTTTTAGCCTACGAAAGATTTGAAAAGCAACCAAGGCAAGAAGACGTAAGAATTCATCAAGATTTCAACCAATAATCGATGCAATACGAGAGTTTGTTTCGAATCATTAACATTGATGTTTTCTTTGTTTTTAAACCTCATTGAGATTACCTTTCCATTGCTATGGAGTAATTCTCATTAGGGTGTTGACAGATACGGTGATTTGATAACTTGATTAAGGATTCGATTCTTGATAATTGTTGGAATTAATTAATGGAGTTTTAATTCTTATTATGAAGTTATTTCTTATTTTTGTTAATCGAAAAATGAGCCTGGTATTGAATTTCTTTACATCTTATGCTCTAGTTTAATTCATGATTCAAATATATAATAGAAAGAGCCTCTTGAATTATTAATCGAACTAGAAAATAGGGAAATAATCGTGAGAAGTTACCCTTTAAATCATAACCATCATTTTATTCATTGCAATTGTTTACCATGCTTCAATTGGATTAATTACTGAAATTAACATTTAATAGAAAGAGGAACATTAGCTTCAAGTGTAATCTAATTATCTGTTGAATTCATGAGAAGAAACAGTATTATAGAGGGAACTAACTCAAGAATTGGATCCCGAGTCAATTATTTTGCACATATCTAGTCAATTACCCATTTCTCTCATTGATATTTCTTTGTTGCTCATCTACTGTCTTTTGTTATCAATTGTTAATTCCTTAATTTTTAGTAGTTAATCATAGTTGATAATCATCAAATCAAGTATTAATTTTCCTGGATAGTAATCAATTGAAGATTATTCCAATAGTGTTTAAATCCAATCCCTGTGGAGACGATAATTAAACTATATTATCTTTGACTAGCGAGCAATAATTTTGTGTTGTGTTTTGCGCTCTTCAAATTTTGGCGCCATTTCCGGGAATGGGCAATCACTAGTGTTTAAAATAGTTTTAGTACTAATTCAGAAATCAATTTTTACTTTAGTGTATTCACATTTTCTCACTTGTGTGCAGGATACAGGTTTAATTTCTCTGGTGTATGACTCAATCTTCTTCAAAGGAAGTGATACCCTATAAATCGGAGTTGGAGAAACATCTGCGACAATTGAGAAGAGAAAGAGAATGAAGAAAACATTTCTTTGGTCATACTTTGACTCAAGATAACATGGCAAACAAAGAGATTGATGGAGTAGACTTAGCTGCAAGAGAGGCAACACAACAAGAAGCTGCATGAATAGCAGTTGAGGCAACCCTTAGAGCTACTGAGGACACTATCAAAGATGGTGGGGGTCGAAGATACAATCTAAACCTGCCCTTGGTTGAAGACCAGTTCGAGAATGCAACACCCAGACCTGGGAGATCACTGGGTGACTATGTTAGACCATTTCTATAATCAAGGACTGTCAAGTGTCAGACTTCCACCCATAGAAGCAAACAACTTCGATTGAAGCAAGGTTTGCTTCAAACCATCCAAAACAATTGTATCTTCAGAGGGAAGGTGAATGAAGATCCTAACACTCACTTGATATACTTTGAAGAAATCATGAACACCTTCTAGTACAATGGAGTATCAAAAGATGCAGTCTACCTAAGGGCATTCCCCTTTTCATTGAAGGATGACGCCAAGCACTGGCTTCATAGCTTACCCATAGGGTCGATAAGGACAAGGGAAGATATGACCAAAATGTTTCTTGACAAGTACTTCTCAGCTGCAAAAATAGGGAAATTCAGAAGGGAAATCCACAATTTCTGCCAGAAGAGACAAAAATAGTTTTCGAAGCTTGGGAAAGATTCAAGGAGACAGTCAGAAAGTATCAGCACAATGAAATTGATTTGCGGATGCAACTCCAGGATTTTTGGGATTGACTGACACCTTCCTCACGATGAACTCTGAGTACTGCATGTGGAGGTCCACAAATAAAAAAACTCCAGAGGAGGTTGTCTCAATCCTTGATGAATTATTTGAGGGTGCTAACCAATGGCCAAGGTGAAAGTAGTGACAAACAAAAATCAGCTTAGGTTCACCATGTGGACTCTAATACATCAGTGCAAGCCTAACAAGACACCATGACCAAGGAGATAAGAAAGTTGACATTGGCCAAAGTACAGAGTGAGCCGCAAGCAGCATGTGACTTTTGTGGAATGTGACACCCTGCACATGAGTGTCAAGCTTCAGCTGAGGATGTTAACGTTGTGGGGAACTATAATAGAGGAAACTACCAGAGTGGGACCACTATAATACTATGGGACAAATACATCCAGATTTTTCGTGGAGTTCACCTAGTGGGGATTCTAAAATTATGGCAGCAAAATAATTAATCCTAGACCCTAGGGTCAAGGACCACCAAGTTTTCAGAACCAGCAGAGGCAGCAGTACCAGCCACCACAGTCAAATCAGTATAGTATGGAAGATCTCATGAAGGCGTTTATTAACAAAACAGATGAAAATTTTGAGCCTCAGGGCACAACCATCCGGAATTTAGAAAGACAAATGGGGTAAACTACAAATTTTTTATCTGAGAGGGCTCTTGAGACTCTTACCCTCCGACACTGAAAAAGAACCCAAAAGAAACAATCAAAGCTGTATCTCTGAGAAGTGGCAAAACATTGGCTGACCTAGTTGTGAAAGCTAGATCCGAGGTGGTGAACAAGTAGACTGAGACACTAGAAGAGAAAAAGAGTGAAGAGCAGAAAGGTCAGAGTAGTGGGGTACAAAATGAGATTGAAGAAATTAGACACATGCCAGCTCTACCATTCCCTCAAAAGATGAAGCGGGAAAAACTTGACAAATATTTTGGGCGGTTCATGGAGATGCTCAAGAAACTTTATGTGAACATTCCGTTTACAGAGGTACTCACTCAGATGTCGGCTTATGCAAAGTTCTTGAGGGAAATCCTGTCTAGCAAGAGGAAATTAGAGGAGACAACAGTGGCCAAGCTGAATGCGCACTGCAGTGCCATATTGCAAAATAAAATTCTCCAAAAGTGTGGGGACCTAGAAAGCTTCACCATACCATGCTCGTTGGGGAGTGAGAAATTCGACAAGGCTCTCTTTGATTCTAGTGCTTCAATAAATCTAATGCCTTTGTCTGTGTTTAGGAAACTGGAAGGTGAGCTCGAAGTGATCAAATCAATACCAGTGTACCTACAAATGGCTAACCAGACCACCATTTTCCCTGAGGGAATCATTGAGGATATTCTAGTACGGGTGGATAAGTTTGTGCTCCCCGTAGACTTTATTGTGGTGGATATGGAAGTGAGTGAATAAGGATGTACCTCTAATTCTAGGGAGGCCATTTTTATGTACATGCAGAGCTATCCTTGATATCTATGAGGGGAAACTTGATCTTAGAGTGGGCAATGAGCAAATAGCGTTCCGGATAAAGAGGATGATGAAATATCGCAGTGATGAGGCATCGGCCTACTCATGTTTCAAGCTAGATGTTGTAGGAGAATCTGCTGAAAAATACAAGTTTGACAAGCTTGTGGGGGATACTTTAGAGAGGTGTATTACATTACTCAGTCTAGCACCATAGAGGATGAAGACCCCGAAATAAAGAAAGAGGATGAAGCTCTTGAGACTTAGGATCAAGTGGATGATGAGGAGGAACTGAAGAAGGCAGCTTCTAAGCCTAATATGAAATTGAATGTCCTCCCTAATCACTTGAAATATGCTTTTCTTGATAGTAATAATTTTCTGTTTTTATTTCTGCTTACTTGACAGGTACACAGGAGCAAAAGCTGGTGGAGCTACTGAGAAAGTACAAAAGGCCATTGGCTGGACCACGGTTAATATTCAAGGAATCAGTCCAGCCATTTGCATGCTCAAAATCCTACTGGAAGAAAATAGTAAGCCAGTGGTGCAGCCCCAACGCAAGCTGAATAAAAATCTGGAGGAGGTAGTGCACTAGGAGATCATCAAATTGCTAGATGTGGGAGTGATTTTCCCTATCTCTGGTAGTAGCGGATTAGTCCAGTACAAATTTTACCTAAGAATGTAAATATGATAGTGGTAAAGATTGAAGACAATGAATTGATCCCCACGAGAACAGTCACTGGGTGTAGAATGTGCATTGATTATAGAATGCTGAATGATGCAGCAAGGAAAGACCACTTCCCACTTCCCTTCATTGATCAGATGCTCGAGAAAGTGGCTGGACATGGATGTTACCATTTCTTGGATGGGTACTCAGTCTGTAATCAGATACCCATTTCCCTAGAAGATGTTGAGAAGATTACATTCACTTGCCTATCGGGTATTTTTGCTTATAAGAGGATGCCATTTGGGTTCTGTAATGCACTGACCACTTTTCAGAGGTGCATGATATCTATATTCTCCGATCTAAACAGGAAGTGTCTAGAGGTATTCATGGATGATTTCACCCTCTTGGTGATGACTTTGATGATTGCTTGAAGAATTTGGAGCTTATGCTTGAACGTTACGAAGCCACTCACCTGGTTCTTAACTGGGAGAAGTGCCACTTCATGGTGAAAGAAGGAGTTGTCCTGGGCTACAAAGTGACTACACATGGCATTGAAGTTGATAGAGACAAGGTTGGTGTAATTGCTAGGCTCCTTCCACCGACTTCTGTGAAGAGCATAAGGAGTTTCTTGGGATATGCTGGGTTCTATAGAAGATTTATTAAAACTTTTCCAGCATTACCAAGTCATTGACTGCATTGCTAGCGAAGGATGTTAAGTTTGTGTTCACTGTAGAGTGCTTAAAAGCATTCGAATTGATAAAAGAAAAACTTAGTTCTCCCATTATGGTGACCCCTGATTGGAGCCAGCGATTTGAAATGATATGTGATGCTAGTTATGTAGCTGTGGGGGCAGTTTTGGGGAAAAGAAAAGATAAGATGTTTAGGCCCATCTACTATGCAAGTAGGACACTGAATGATGCTTAAGTCAACTATGCCACTACTGAGAAAGAGTTCTCACTGTGGTCTTTACTTTTGACAAGTTTAGCACATATTTGGTGGGGAATAAAGTGATTGTACACACTGATCACTTAGCTTTGAAATACTTGTTGAGTAAGAAAGAGTCCAAGCCGCGTCTAATGCGGTGCGTGTTGTTGCTCCAAGAGTTTGAATTGGAGATCAAAGATAGGAAGGGCATAGAAAATCAAGTCTCCGATCATCTGTCTCGACTTGAGAGACCTCTAGTAGAAATAGTTGAAATAAGGGAACAATTCCTTGATGAGCAGATTTTTTCTATTGCTGCAGTCTCTGAAAGACTGCTTTGGTATGATGATACAACTAACTTTTTGGTTGGAGTAGATGGTTGCCCTGTGACCTCTCTCATGATAAAAGAAGGAAGCTTCAAGGTGAGGTAAAAAGTTATCTTTAGAAAGACCCTTTTTTATTTAAACTGTATGCAGATGGTGTGATTTGAAGATGTGTGTGTGAAGGAGAGATGGCAAGCATTCTGTCTCATTGCCATTATGGAGTAGCTGGAGGACACTATGGTGGAAATCGCACTGCATCAAAGGTCATGAAAGCCAGTTTCTATTGGCCCACTTTGTACAAAGATGCACAGGCGTATGTAGTTGCATGTGACAAGTGTCAAAGGGCAGGTAATATTAATAAGAGGGATGAAATACCTCTCAACTCCATTCTGGTATGTAAAATTTTTGACGTTTGGGGCATTGACTTCATGGGCCCATTCCCATCATCTCATTCTTATGAATATATCCTAGTAGCCATTAACTACGTCTCTAAACGGGTCGAAGAAATCCCTACTAGGACCAATGATGCTCGGGTGGTGTGTGAGTTCTTACAGAAGAACATTTTTACCTACTTTGGGACACCTCGAGTTTTTATCAGTGACAATAGATAGAAGTTTATGAACAAGCAGTTTGCTGCATTGCTGTCTAAGTATGGGGTCACACAAAAAACAAGAACCCCTTACCATGCCTAAACTAGTGGGTAAGTTGAAGTGGCTAACCATGAACTTAAACGAATTCTTGAAAAGACGGTTAGTGCGACTCGTAAGGATTGGTCTATAAAGTTGGATGAAGCTCTATGGGCGTACAGAACTGCGTTCAAAATAACCAGAGGGACTTCACCGATCAAATTAGTGTATGTAAAATCGTGTTATCTACCTGTTGAGATAAAACATAAAGCTTATTGGGAATTAAGATGCTTAATCTTGATCTTAGTCTTGCAGGTAAACACAAGTTGGCGCAGATGAACGGATTTGAGGAGTTTAGACTGTACGGGTATGCAAATGCACGAATCTTTAAGGAGAAGACAAAAAGGTGGCATGATCACCCAATTAAGCCAAAGGAATTTCATTAAGGAGACAAAGTCTTACTATACAATAGTAGACTTAGGTTGTTCCCCCCAAAAATTCAAGTCAAGATGGACAGGTCCGTATGTGTTGAAACATGTCTCATCGTATGGCGCCATTGAGATCCAAGATGAGAGAGAGAATGAAAGCTTTAAAGAGAACGGGCACAGGTTGAAATCGTACCAGGTTGGAGTATTTGACAAGAAATATTCTACCATTGTGATCAAATGAGCCCAAGTGACGGAGTTAAGGTGATGACTATAACTCAGAACTACTTTTAACCTTTTTTTTGCTTTTGTAGAATAGTTAGATAATTGTAGTGTAGTATTATTAGAGTTTAAGAGTTTAGATAATTGTTTGAACATGTATGAGCATGAATTGGATACAAAATAAGTACATAATAGAGTAGGGGTGCAACCCGTAGGCTAGAACATGAAAGAAAATCAGAACTCTGAGAAACATTGCCCAGTAGGCCGCATGGGGCGCCATGCTAGGCAAAGGGTTGGGTTTGTCAAAACAACCAGCTTTTGAACATCTCCATTTCCACTCCGCATGGGGCGACGCACCCCGTGACGCGGATGCACAAATGTTTCGGCTAGAAATTTAAAAATAACAAAGTAAAACAAAAAAAACGGACTTCCAGTACACTAACCCCCCTCTTCCCTTTATTTTTTACTCTCTTCTCAAATACTCTCTCTAACTCACACCCAAATCCCCCATTCTTCTTCTTCTTCTTCTTCAAATTTCTTTCCCTCAAATTCTCCCACCTTCATTACTCATCAAGGTAAGTTCTCTTTTCTCATATTTTCTCTTTTAATAGTAAATTTAGGTAGTTCAGTTAATATTTCTAACCATACGTAGTTTTTAAATTTTGTTTTGTTAATATTCATATTTTGGTCGAAAATTTTGCTTAAACTTGTGGGGTTTTTTATTATTCTTATGATTGTGGAGGATTTTTAGTATGAGGAGTTATTTTATGATGAAGTTTGGTGGGGGTGCCACTATGGATGAAAATTGGTGAATTGTGTGTCAAATTTGTGTACTTTGTGCTATTATGAAGATGTGGTAGTGTTATGGTTGTGTTGGGTGGTGTATTTGATGTGGTTGTTTGGTGGTTCTAACCCACTTTGAATTGAAATAAGATGGTGAAAGATGTGACCACAATGTATTTGTTGAAATGCCTTAGTGACATAAAATTATATTAGTGTTGCTAATTTAGAAAGGAAGTGCTTTGTGGGATGTATTGCCAAATGATAAGTGTTGGGTGGGAGGTCATGTTCTTATGTTGTGAAACTTTAATGTGTTAGCCCCAAGTACTAATCGATTGACTACCCCATGCTAATGTGTTGCTAGGTATTAATTGGGATGTCTGATTCATGCTAAGTACTTGTGTAGTGTTGTATTGCAACTTCTTAATTTTGTTAGTAGTAAATTAGTATAACTTCTTATACTTTTTCTTAGTTACTAGGGTAGCTTCTTGATTTTGTATTTTACACTAATATAGTCTGTGGTTTGTTGTTGTAATATTATGTTGGTGGTTGGGTGGGTTGTTGATTACTTGTGGCATGCTTTCAATGGGATAGTCTTAGTCCTCGATATACATCGTACTTGCGAACATACCAATAATATAAGTGCGGGGTGGTTACTCCATTTGATCTTGCTTTTTGTTTTAAGTATTGTGGCTAATTGTGTTTGTCTTGTGCATGTACAATGTCTTGGCGTCCTTGCAAACATGCTAACATAGGTTCCTCCGAGGTTGACTTTAGTAGTCGTAGAGGAGGTAGGCGGGGACCTCCCCCCGCCCTAGTGGAGGAGGAAGTGGAGCGCATTGATCCAGATGCGGATGTAGTACCGGGCTGCAAGTATGGCATTCAGACTATGCCAGCTCATGCTACAAATTGGTATAGGACCTTTGTTCCGGTGGTAAGCCCCGACCTGGAAGTTGGTATTGATGATCGCAAGCTAGCCAGGATGTACTCGGAGATTTACAACAACATCAGATACCTGGATTTTGAAAGCTTTTTCCGTCCCGGTGAGTCGGTGAACGTGAACATGGTAAAGGAGTTCTATGTCAATTGGCAGTTTGAGTCCATTTTGGATGCGGTGTATGAGGTGCAGGTGAGAGGCAAGATGATCCCTTTTTCCTCACAGATGATAAATCGTGTTATGGGGTTCATAGAGCACTCTCATAAGTTGTTCCAGAGGTTGCTGCATTGGTCTCCCTATCTTGATATTAGGCGCCAGCTATATGATGCTGATTATCTTGCCACGTGGACACGGGATGCTAATGAGTTCCACAAAGACATGAAGAAGAGGAATTTCCAGCATCCCGCCAGGGTCATTCTCCGGTTGATTAATGCAAAGATTATGCCTACCTAAAATGACATTGATGTCTCCAGGCTGAAGGTGTATCTCATTTATGCCATCTTGACTCGGATGAAGTTCGATCTTGGCAAGAGTATACTTGAGCACATGGATCGAGTACAACCACTTGGGACCCACCGCCTGTATTTCCAGAGCATGATCACTCGGCTTCTGCGGACGCACTATATGGAGGAGGAGTTCCATTATGATCGGACGATTCTGGTGTTGCGACCTCCTAAGGCCTTTGATGTCACAGCTGTGACAGACCCCCCTTCTGTTGTTGTTCCTATGGATCAGAGATTGCTTCGTGTCGAGGAGACACTACAGCTGCTATTTACTTATATGTGCCTTGGCAGAGCTGCAGGAGGACTACCCCCTCTCCGTGGTCACTCACCAGTGGTTGGGCTTGGCAGATGGAGCACAAATGCCACCGGATGAGGACATAAATTGTGTTCCCTCCGATGATGAGGAGTACCTGCGCACCTTTGAGGGTGTTGATGAGGAGTAGGCCAAAGGCCTCATGAAGTTACCTTTTCACTATTGTTTTTAATGTTTTGCATTGGGGACAATGCAATTTCTTAAGTGTGGGGTGGGGTGCTCCTATTTGTTTGTATTTGTATTTATTTTCTATTTGCTAGTTGGCTTTGTTTAATTTGTTTCTTGCTTTCTTAGACAATATGGTCTATAATTATAACTCTAAATTCTATCGACCTGTAATAGTTAGTAATCATAATTATTTAGTTTCGACTCTTCCCGACGACATATTTCGTCAATTGGCTTCTTGATGGATTTGATATCGAACGAGAAAAATACAAAAAAAAAATTAAAAATCCAAAATATGTCTTTTATTTTATTTTATTTTAGTTTACTTTCTTAGGTAGTGTAATAATTCCCTCTTGGTTTTTTTGTGTGCCGCGGTTCTTTTATAAGAATTTTACTTGAACCAAGTGTAGTTAGTTTTTTTTAGAAAAATAGAATCTTAAGTCATAGCACTAATTTAAAACAATTTTCCTTGACTA